AAAGAAGTTGTTATCCATAAAATTGTCTATCTTGTATTTTGTCAATGACACATGATTAACTAGGTTCACACCTAAAAGCATATATTGTCGTATATGCATATATCGCAGATGAAGTAAAGGTATCTGAATCGACATTATCAGCCCTGTATCTCAGTTGACATGAAATTACCTCTGAGCTAACTCACTCTCGCTGCCATTACCCGGGTGTCCTTCTAGCTAGCTCACTCTCGCTGCCATTACCCGGGTGTCCTTCTAGCTATCTCACTCTTGCTGCCATTACCCGGGTGTCCTTCTAGCTAGCTCACACTCGCTGTCATTACCCGGGTGTCCTTCTAGTTACTCTTGCTGCCATTACCCGGGTGTCCTTCTAGCTATCTCACTCTCGCTGCCATTACCCGAGTGTCCTTCTAGCTACCTCACTTTTGCTGCCATTACCCGGGTGTCCTTCTAGCTACCTCACTCTCGCTGCCATTACCCGGGTGTCCTTCTAGCTATCTCACTCTTGCTGCCATTACCCGGGTGTCCTTCTAGCTAGCTCACTCTCGCTGCCAGTATCCGAGTGTCCTTCTAGCTATCTCACTCTTGCTGCCATTACCCGGGTGTCCTTCTAGCTATTTCACTCTTGCTGCCATTACCCGGGTGTCCTTCTAGCTATCTCACTCTTGCTGCCATTACCCGGGTGTCCTTCTAGCTATCTCACTCTTGCTGCCATTACCCGGGTATCCTTCTAGCTATCTCACTCTTGCTGCCATTACCCGGGCGTCCTTCTAGCTATCTCACTCTTGCTGCCATTACCCGGGTGTCCTTCTAGCTAGCTCACTCTCGCTGCCATTATCCGAGTGTCCTTCTAGCTATCTCACTCTTGCTGCCATTACCTGGGTGTCCTTCTGATGAACTTCACTCTCGCTACCATTATCTGGGTGTCGTTGTGATGTACTTCACTCTCGCTACCATTATCTGGGTGTCGTTCTGATGTACCTCACTGTCGCTGCCATTATCCGAGTGTCGTTCTGATGTACCTCACTCTCGCTACCATTATCTGGGTGTCGTTCTGATGTACTTCACTCTCGCTGCCATTATCTGGGTGTCGTTCTCATGTACTTCACTCTCGCTACCATTATCTGGGTGTCGTTCTGATGTACTTCACTCTCGCTACCATTATCCGAGTGTCGTTCTGATGTACCTCACTCTCGCTACCATTATCTGGGTGTCGTTCTGATGTACTTCACTCGCTGCCATTATCTGGGTGTCGTTCTGATGTACTTTCTCTCGCTGCCATTATCTGGGTGTCGTTCTGATGTACTTCACTCACTCGCTACCATTATCTGGGTGTCGTTCTCATGTACCTCACTCTCGCTGCCATTATCTGGGTGTCGTTCTGATGTACTTCACTCTCGCTGCCATTATCTGGGTGTCGTTCTGATGTACTTCACTCTCGCTGCCATTATCTGGGTGTCGTTCTGATGTACTTCACTCTCGCTACCATTATCTGGGTGTCGTTCTGATGTACTTCTCTCTCGCTGCCATTATCTGGGTGTCGTTCTGATGTACTTCACTCTCGCTACCATTATCTGGGTGTCGTTCTGATGTACTTCACTCTCGCTACCATTATCTGGGTGTCGTTCTGATGAACTTCACTCTCGCTGCCATTATCTGGGTGTCGTTCTGATGAACTTTACTCTCGCTGCCATTATCTGGGTGTCGTTCTGATGTACCTCACTCTCGCTGCCATTATCCGAGTGTCGTTCTGATGTACCTCACTCTCGCTACCATTATCCGGGTGTCGTTCTGATGTACCTCACTCTCGCTACCATTATCTGGGTGTCGTTCTGATGAACTTCACTCTCGCTACCATTATCTGGGTGTCGTTCTGATGTACTTCACTCTCGCTGCCATTATCTGGGTGTCGTTCTGATGTACTTCACTCTCGCTACCATTATCTGGGTGTCGTTCTGATGTACCTCACTCTCGCTACCATTATCTGAGTGTCGTTCTGATGTACTTCACTCTCGCTGCCATTATCTGGGTGTCGTTCTGATGAACTTCACTCTCGATACCATTATCTGGGTGTCGTTCTGATGTACTTCACTCTCGCTGCCATTATCCGAGTGTCGTTCTGATGTACTTCACTCGCTGCCATTATCCGAGTGTCGTTCTGATGCCATTATTATCCGAGTGTCGTTCTGATGAACTTCACTCTCGCTGCCATTATCTGGGTGTCGTTCTGATGTACTTCACTCTCGCTACCAATATCTGGGTGTCGTTCTGATGTACTTTACTCTCGCTGCCATTATCTGGGTGTCGTTCTGATGTACTTCACTCTCGCTGCCATTATCTGGGTGTCGTTCTGATGTACTTCTCTCTCGCTGCCATTATCTGGGTGTCGTTCCTCACTCTCGCTACCATTATCTGGGTGTCGTTCTGATGTACTTCCTCTACTCGCTACCATTATCTGAGTGTCGTTCTGATGTACCTCACTCGCTACCATTATCCGAGTGTCGTTCTGATGTACCTCACTCTCGCTGCCATTATCCGAGTGTCGTTCTGATGTACTTCACTCTCGCTGCCATTATCCGAGTGTCGTTCTGATGAACTTCACTCTCGCTACCATTATCCGAGTGTCCTTCTGATGTACCTCACTCTCGATACCATTATCCGAGCGTCGTTCTGATGTACCTCACTCTCGCTGCCAGTATCCGAGTGTCGTTCTGATGTACCTCACTCTCGCTACCATTATCCGGGTGTCGTTCCGATGTACCTCACTCTCGCTGCCATTATACGGGTGTCGTTCCGATCAAGTACACGACGCCTAAATGACCAACACGACGAGTACGAAAGTGCCTTCACTGATCTTTTAAACATTTTTTGTTTACTGCTGAATTGGAAAGTGATTATATATTTGTGTCGATAATGTGCCGAGGTATTGGTTCAACGATAACTGCAGAATAATTCTGCATATGAAATATACGCATACAGTAGACGTGTCTAATATGCAATGTTGTTAGTGTTGATTGGTCGAGTCAAGCGTATTCCGTGACAGTCATGCAATCAAAGACGTCAGTGAACGCAAACAAACATAGAACACCATTACCCACTGTCGTATGCCTAAATTGCCATTTCCTGTTCAGGTCATTTAACAAATATCGTGTTTGTCCCTTCGTTCGTTCGTTTGTTAACGATGGAGGTCTGTAAATAACCAAGTCTGGGCCAGACAATCCAATGACTGACATCATGAGCATCGATCTGTTGGGATACGATGACATTCATCAACCAAGTGAGTAAGTCTGACGACCCGGTTCCCTTGGTTGCCTCTTACAACAAGCATGGGAAAACCAACTAGCTGAAGACCAATTCTAACCCGGATCTTCACGGGTCTGAAACACGTACGAACGTTACTATTTACATATTTATACTTTCGCGGTCGTATAAATGATCTCAAAAGGATATATGGAGTGACACATTCAGTTATCTAGGAATGCTATGAAAAATATGTACCTTTGATAATAACTTTAATTATGTGGGTACTCCTGCGGTGTATATTTGCGTCTTTTACTGTGTTGACAAGCCTGCGATGTACATACTGTATTGTCTAGGTGACCGTGGGATGTACATGTTATAATTCGGACACATCTAGGAAGTTCTTTTCTTATTGCGGACGCCTCTTAAAGTTTTTCTTCATAATACGGACACCTTTTGGTGGTTTCATTTCATAATACGGGCACCCCTATGATGTATCTTTCGCCGAATAGTTCTTTATGCTAGCAAATACACTACTTTTTAAACAGTTCGTGATGGAAAATAATCCTCAATAAAAATATTATCCTATATACAGTTATTTAACTGAGAATACGACTCTTCGGATAAATTCGGGTGTTTCAACTTTCAGTGAAACGATCAACAACCGATTTAAACAAAATATGCAAGCAACCGGCGACTCCGCCATGCTATTCTTAAATCTTTCTCACGAAATCGATTTTAACTCCAACCTTGAAGTTTCAATCAAATGGCATGTCTGGAGATCTCTTATCAAAGGCTAGATGATGTATAAGGAATAACTTTAACTGTTTGTTGAAGGGACTTTCAGGCGAACATAGGATTTTAGATTTACCATTTTATCATCTATAGGCAGTAACAGTCCTTTACAGTGGGGAAATATCATGATTCATAAATTCCGTGCTTTTGTTTTCTCCCATACGTGTGTCTACTGTAAAGTCAGTGACACGTTAAGCTACTAGGACAAGGTATTATACACATTATCGGTATAAATGGTACCACATAAAGCACACTAACAGCTTGATAGGTAGTCATGGTGTTCCTGAGAGAGAAATGTTCTTCCTTCACCATCACGTTGTCAGCACCATGCCTCAGATCACAGACTTCACCAAACTGCCAAATGTCTCCAACCTGCATCACTTAGAGCTTGTATTCCATGTCCAGATGACACTCGGTAATAAAGCCGAATACTTCTCAAAGCGGCGTTAAGTTCAACTCACTCACCAACTCACGTTTGATCAAATGGTTATCCTTTAGAAAAGACACTTTAATTACAAAAGCGAAACCGGAATATTTAGCTTTATATGTAAAATGTCGAACAATAAATAGTCTGTCCAATGGTTGACTGTGTTATCGTGATAGATTTCAAGAGGGGTTAGGCCACACACATTGCACAATTCTTCTTAAAAAGCCTTAATCGCAATCCTAATTCTGCTATTGTAGAGCGATGTGGTCACGCCGGCATTCATGCGGTAAACTAGACGGCGTTATAGGCACAATGAGCAAAACACACAGAACATTAAGCTTTTAAAATTGAGATTAGATATTCTTGTCAGTCTCAAGGTGAACACAGATTCGTTCTTTCACGTTAACATTTCACTAACCACCACTTCACACGCTTTCAACAGTGACTGAGCAAAGCAACGACAACCACATGCTCGGCGTTACATACGTTATGTCGTTTCAATGATCATTAATAATGAGAAATCTCATCAGAAATGACTTACCTAAAAATGTGACAGGGTCTGCCTGACCCCCCTCGGGCCGCACCCAAAGTTCGACAGTAAACTGTTCCATAGGGATACGAGTTGTAAACGAGTGTTGAGAGGGGGTAAGGTTTAGCACCTGTCGCCCAGAAAAGTACACAGCGTTACCGAACTTTGATCGCCTTTCGCCCCAACCCCCTTGCACATCCCGGGGGTACCTCGACGGCACGTGCACGTTCTGCCCACCCCCAGTAACACTATAGGAAGTTTTGAGTTTGTCCTCTCTGTTTTTTGTTTCTTTTGCCACTTTATCCTTTTTTCTTTCAGTGTGTGCAAAGTGCCGGTTGATTTTCTGTTCAAATGCCTGAGATAAGAGAATAAAAAACACGAGTAAAACTCCGATCCTGTGTGAGGAGTTGATGGGATGTCTGGGAAGTAGGGGAGGCATGGTGGATTCGGCGGCAGTGAGGACATCGCACATTCAGTGACATGAGAACACGAGGTAAATTCACGTTTACACAAACTGATTTCTCTCAGTGTGACAGAAGGGTCACGTGACGACCCGTCAAGCCAGCAGTAAGAGATGGGTTTAGAGAGCGCCGCTATAACACTGCTGTGGGGGACTATCGGGTCTGAAGCGCCACCCTCCGCCCTAACATCATCTACTGAACTCCCTGTTCGTCATTGATTTCATATGCACAATACAAGGCTGCACCCATCGGCGGCGGTGGCGGCGGAGCACGGTACCAGCTACCACTGTCACTTTCCAAGTATCTGTTACGCTCATCTTGAGAGAGTGACACAAGTGTTAAAACAGAAGTGTTCATCGCTTCTGACACTGTATGGAAATCAAGTAATCTGATGTAATTGGGCATAGGGATATAGCGATGGGGGAAAGGTAGGGCGAGTTGAGGATGTCGATGTACGCTATCCCCTTCATACATCACTGCGCACCTGATTCAGACGGACAAAACTCTTATTGCGTGTAAATATTTGCACTGAAACATGCTATGCCCTCGTCGAAAGCTGTTATTATTTGGTCGTCATGTCTCAAGTTTTTATTTATTGGAACAGACTATGCATTCATTATATGTATGAATGTGAGTGTTATGATCCGCAGCGTGTAGAATGTTTACTTGATAACTCTGTACTATTACCAGAACGACACATTAACGTTGTTATCCTATCAGCTGATAAAGAGAGATACCTACTACTTCCACTATAAAACTTAGAATTAATATGATGACTAAGCATGGTGACGGCGAAGCTCTGTGGGCAGGCTTGTATCTCCTCCTCACTGAGCCGCGACACGGAGACTGACGGTGTCCGGCTGGACCAGTGAGTGGGGCGCTGACCAGTGCGGAGTGAAATGCCATGTCTACGGGGACTGGACACAGACATAATTAGACTGGTATCGATGTGATGGTCTTAACTTGTGACATATCGCTATGCTACAGCTCGTCCAAATTAAAAGTCCCTACAATGTACAGCATACGAGGGTCTCACATACGGATGATGGATTGGTATGACTGTACTACAGTGTCTTCTCCTGTAAGACTGTATCAAATAGCACGGAATCGATATGGTGTTTAAGAAGATACACAACGTTTAAAATGTAAAAGCTGCTGATCTGTATTGTTTCTGGGGAAGAGATGACTCATCGATATTACTGCTATAGCAAGGGCATTGGTTACACTGGTGTAGCCACGTGAACTGGCTTGACCGCCTAGCTTAAAGTACATATTGGCAAGTCTGCCCACAACATTCTCCAGGCTGACAAACTGGCTTAACTGCCAGTGAGCATACGTACCCTACAACACGGAATACACAGAGCTCACATCTCACAACAGGGCAGTATACATAACGTACGTACATGTTTACTCTTAACTTACATCACAAGAACAAAAATAATCCGCCTACAGGATACTGAAGACATAAATTATATTTCATTCTTGGTTTTTAAAGGATGTTTCTACATGAAAGTTACAATAACAACCGTCTTGACATGTTAAGGAATAAAATCTAAATGCCCTGCGGCACGTTCAACAGGTGCTGAAAGATTGATTAGAGACGGTTGTGGTATTTGTTATTGACAAGGGCGAGAGGGGTGCGGCAGTACATATTGATAACACATTGTGTACTACACCCCTATTGTGTAGCATCAATATTGTAAGTGTCACCCTGTATGTATTGTGGTGTACATCTTCTATACAGAGTATAGGACCGCCATTAGTTCTGCTACTCATTCCTGGAATGCCAAGTGGACAGCATCACAACACTCAGTAATGGTGTAGGATCAGTCCACACTTGAGGTTTCTCCTCGAAGGTCTGTTATAACGTCTAGTTGCGTATAGTTTCGTATTATCTAAAAATAAGACCTGGATCTGATACTGAGACAAAACTGATCGGTGTTGTACGGAGCTGGCGCCACGTCAGTGCTATTAATATAAACTGGCATCAGACTCTGAACTCTAGACGGGTTGGCTGTTGATGATGATGTGGCAAGTACGACTTTCAACGGGAATAGGATTTACCTATGATCAGATCCATAGCCTTAAAAGCGGAACATTAATGCACTGCTTTGATAGTCAGCTTCCTATAAAATAAATAAATAATACCATTTTTGTCTGTGAATGTCTATGTTCCGCCCCTAAACACGTGTAGTATATTTAAGGCAATATGAGCGATATGTGCCAAGTGGAAGATTCAAAGACACAAGCCCTATGAAAAAGTCGTGGTCTGTGCAGGCCTTCACACGAACATAGCCACTCCGAAACTACTGTTGTATGTGATCGTATTGAAGTAATGCCAGTCTTAGTTCACTGTATGCATGGTCCTTCTGGTCTGAAATTTCCTCGTTACATGCGAGTGGTCGTACGTTGCCTGCAGTTTAAAACAGTACACCATGTTGAGCGTGGGGCAGAGGAGGATATTGACCTCTCGCCAATAGATGTTATCGTAATAAAGTTTTCTGCAATATTACAGGTGGATATCAAAGGCATTGATGGGACAACTGTAAACCTTCGAACCACGAGGCATACCAGTGGTTGACTGCATGAGCCACCATTCTCGTCCTCAGGGCACCATAACACGGTCCATATGATTCAGCGGAACCCAAATATTGCAATGTGCTCTGATTGGGTGTTGGTTAGGGGACGTATTCTGCTTTGTAATTGCGAGCTTGCATAATAGCTATTAAGGTGGTGCGTGGCCCTGTGCCAGGTCACAAATCAGTTGAAGTTAAGCAACGTTGAGCAGGGAGAGGTATCGGATGGGTGACCGTGTTTGGCAGCTTGGCTCCTGAGAGTTGCTTGGACTTAAGTCCTCCGGCAAGCGAGTTTGTTCAAAATTGCCTCTGTTTACCCAGCAGAAAATGGGTACCAGTGGGATAAGTCATGTGACTATTAACCTTATAGCGCCTGGGTAGTAATTTGCCGTGCTTTCATTGTTAGCGTTATGAGCATTCACCTAGTGAATGGAGTTTAGCGCATTATAAATGCTCTTATTATGTAAGAAAAGATTCCATCCTTACGAAGGATGAGAAGACAGGTACTTATTACGATCTACCTTCGTTACTACATTTTCTAAGATGTTTATGCAAAGTCCCATTCTTCCTAATGTTATGCCATGAATGAACAGTCTCTATATCAGTGTGTTTCAAGTGAAAGACATACATGTAATGTGTAATATGTGCCGACTACAATGATCGATACATGTATACACCGCTCTGACACAATAACAGTGTGAGGTATGACTAAGTCTGGGTCATATGGGGTGCGTTACCTGTCTGCTACATCCAGCGATACCGCGCTCTGTACAGACACACAGCGTTTATCTGAAGCAAGCGATGACAAGCAGGAAGATAATTACTTCCAAAAGATTTCATTCACTAAACAAAAACACTATCGACGTCAGACTTTCTTTTCTTACCTGTGGGGCAGTCAAGTAAATTTAACTAAGTTTATCTAAACACACACGAATGAGAATTAATTACGAGCTGTCTGCGGTTTCTAGTGATAACCTGACTTGTTACAGATAGGTATTTTGAGCCACACTTTTTTATTTTTGTCGTCGTTTGGGCATGTTTATTGCCGCTATCTTGTACAGACTTGTAAAGGCGCAACGGTAGCAGCAGCTCTTGTAAATTGGTTGCATTTCTCCGTGTATTGTGTAGCCAGCGATAGATTTATTACGGAAGCCCTGCTAAAGTAGTCATGCGAATACAACCGTTGTATTTAAAATGTTTGTACTCATCCCACAATGAATTATTCCACCTTTTAACTTACAGTTGCTAGCTGAATGTCCTACCCAGACACATTTAGCCTTAACACCAAAAGTGAATTCAAACGTATTCACACCCAAACTACAGCAAGAAAGGTGGCGACTACACTGCTTCCTGACTGCCTCCACCGTATGATGACTACACTGCCTGCTGACTGAATCCACAGTATGATGACTACACTGCCTGCTGACTGCCTCCAACGTATGATGACTACACTGCCTGCTGACTGAATCCACAGTATGATGACTACACTGCCTCCAGACTGCCTCCACCGTATGATGACTACACTGCCAGCTGACTGCCTCCTCAGTATGATGACTACACTGCCTGCTGACTGCCTCCACCATATGATGACTACACTGCCTGCTGACTGCCTCCAACGTATGATGACTACACTGCCTGCTGACTGAATCCACAGTATGATGACTACACTGCCTCCCGACTGCCTCCACCATATATGATGACTACACTGCCTGCTGACTGCCTCCTCAGTATGATGACTACACTGCCTGCTGACTGCCTCCACCATATGATGACTACACTGCCTGCTGACTGAATCCACAGTATGATGACTACACTGCCTGTTGACTGACGACAAAGTAAGATGACTACACTGCCTGCTGACTGCCTCCACCGTATGATGACTACACGGCCTGCTGACTGAATCCACAGTATGATGACTACACTGCCTGTTGACTGACGACAAAGTAAGATGACTACACTGACTGCTGACTGACTACACAGTATGATGACTACACTGCCTGCTGACTGAATCCACAGTATGATGACTACACTGCCTGCTGACTGAATCCACAGTATGATGACTACACTGCCTGTTGACTGAATTCACAGTATGATGGCTACACTGCCTGCTGACTGAATCCACAGTATGATGACTACACTGCCTGCTGACTGAATCCACAGTATGATGACTACACTGCCTGCTGACTGAATCCACAGTATGATGACTACATGACTACACAGCCTGATGACTACACTGACTGAATCCACAGTATGATGACTACACTGCCTGCTGACTGAATCCACAGTATGATGACTACACTGCCTGCTGACTGAATCCACAGTATGATGACTACACTGCCTGCTGACTGAATCCACAGTATGATGACTACACTGCCTGCTGACTGAATCCACAGTATGATGACTACACTGCCTGCTGACTGAATCCACAGTATGATGACTACACTGCCTCCCGACTGCCTCCACCGTATGATGACTACACTGCCTGCTGACTGCCTCCACCGTATGATGACTACACTGCCTCCCGACTACCTCCACAGTATGATGACTACACTGCCTGACTGCCTCCACCGTATGATGACTACACTGCCTCCTGACTGCCTCCACAGTATGATGACTACACTGCCTCCCGGATGACTCCACAGTATGATGACTACACTGCCTCCCGACTGCCTCCACCGTATGATGACTACACTGCCTGCTGACTGAATCCACCGTATGATGACTACACTGCCTCCCGACTACCTCCACCGTATGATGACTACACTGCCTCCTGACTGAATCCACAGTATGATGACTAAACTGTCTCCCGACTGCCTCCACAGTATGATGACTACACTGCCTGCTGACTGCCTCCACCGTATGATGACTACACTGCCTGCTGACTGAATCCACAGTATGATGACTACACTGCCTGTTGACTGACGACAAAGTATGATGACTACACTGCCTGTTGACTGACGACAAAGTATGATGACTACACTGCCTGTTGCCTGAATCCACAGTATGATGGCTAAACTGCCTGTTGACTGACGACAAAGTATGATGACTACACTGCCTGCTGACTGACTACACAGGATGATGACTACACTGTCTGCTGACTGAATCCACAGTATGATGACTACACTGTCTGCTGACTGAATCCACAGCATGATGACTACATTGCCTGCTGACTGAATCAACAGTATGATGACTACACTGCCTGCTGACTGAATTCACAGTATGATGACTACACAGCCTGCTGACTGCCTCCACAGTATGATGGCTACACTGCCTGCTGACTGAATCCACAGTATGATGACTACACTGCCTGCTGACTGAATCCACAGTATGATGACTACACTGCCTGCTGACTGAATCCACAGTATGATGACTACACTGCCTGCTGACTGAATCCACAGTATGATGACTACACTGCCTGCTGACTGAATCCAAAGTATGATGACTACACTGCTCCGCTGACTGAATCAACAGTATGATGACTACACTGCCTGCTGACTGAATCCACAGTATGATGACTACACTGCCTCCTGACTGATTCCACAGTATGATGACTACACTGCCTCCTGACTGAATCCACAGTATGATGACTACACTGCGTGCTTACTGAATCCACAGTATGACGACTACACTGCCTGTTGACTGACGACAAAGTATGATAACTGCATTGCCTTCTGACAGACGACAAAGTGTTTTGACTACACTGCCTGCTGACTGCCTACAAAGTATGATGACTACACTGCCTGTTGACTGACTACATAGTATAATGACTACACTGCCTGCTGACTGACTACAAAGTATGCTGACTACACTGCCTGCTGACTGAATCCACAGTATGATGACTATACCGCCTGCTGACTGAATCCACAGTATGAAGACTACACTGCGTGCTGACTGACTACGCAGTATGATGACTACACTGTTTGCTGACTGCCTTCAAAGTATGATGACTACACTGCCTTCTGACTGACTACACAGTATGATGACTACACTGCCTGCTGACTGACGACAAAGTATGATGACTACACTGCCTGCTGACTGAATCCACAGTATGATGACTACACTGCCACCCGACTGCCTTCACAGTATGATGAATACACTGCCTGCTGACTGAATCCACAGTATCATGACTACACTGCCTGTTGACTGACGACAATGTATGATGACTACACTGCCTGCTGACTGAATCCACAGTATGGTGACTACACTGCCTGCTGACTGACTACAAAGTATGATGACTACGCTGCCTGATGACAGACGACAAAGTGTGATAACTACATTGCCTTCTGACTGACGACAAAGTATTATGACTACACTGCCTGTTGACTGCCTACAAAGTATGATGACTACACTGCCTGCTGACTGACTACACAGTATCATGACTACACTGCCTGCTGACTGACTACAAAGTATGATGACTACACTGCCTGCTGACTGAATCCACAGTATGGTGACTACACTGTCACCCGACTGCCTCCACAGTATGATGACTACATTGCCTTCTGATTGACGACAAAGTATTATGACTACACTGGATGCTAAGTGCATACAAAGTATGATGACTACATTGCCTGCTGACTGACTACACAGTATGATGACTACACTGTCACCCGAATGCCTCCACAGTATGATGACTACACTGCCTGCTGACTGCCTACAAAGTATGCTGACTACACTGCCTGCTGACTGAATCCACATTATGATGACTACACTGCCTGCTGACTGAATCCACAGTATGATGACTACACTGCCTGCTGACTGCCTCCACAGTATGATGACTACACTGCCTGCTGGCTGAATCCACAGTATGATGACTACACTCCCTGCTGACTGAATCCACATTATGACGACTACACTGCCTGTT